ATTTGTGTTATGGTCAAATTGTTCCCTAATATATCCACTGGGACAACTTCGAGTTTCCAAAAACATGTATCAAAGCAGAACTGACTGGAAGAGAACGTTGGCTCTTAAGGAAAAGAACTGTAGTCACGTTTTGTCCTAATAAAGAATTGGGGAGCACCTGGCTGGCTCAGTTAGAATAGCATACAACTCTTGATCTCAGGCCCATGTTGGGTGTAGAAATTACTTAAATAAATAAAAAAAGAAATTATGGGTCCCCAAAGCAGTTATAATGAGTGTCTCTGTTATATTTATGCTGTACTTCATTGAAAGGGAGAAAGAGACTGCTCTGTTGATAGCAGCCATTCTCTTTAAAACTTAAAAGTTGAAGATACTTGTGTTACATTAACTAAGGAGCAAACCAGAATGCAAAATCATTCATCCATCATGCTCACCGTCATACAAATAAAAAGCCTAAAAAATAAAGTGGAAGTAAAAAATAAAAATAATGTTAATAATGACTAACTTGGATGGTAGGGTTATGAGTAGGCTTTTCTAATTCAAATCTTCAATAGTGAGGACTGCCTTTAAAAAAAAGAAAACAATTTTTAAATTGTATAAAAATTCTACCCTGATCATTTTTAGTAACTGCAAAAAATTATAAGGGGAAGAAAAGTCCTGGTGAAGTACACACATTATAGTTATAGAAAGAAGTACAATAATAACATGAAACACTACAGATTTGAAATAGGATTTTGCACCTATGTTTTAGTTAAGATAATGTTTATTCTAACATTCATATTCTGATATGTCCATGCTCTTTATAAAATCAAAACCTTGTAGTGCCTGGGTGGCTCAGTCAGTTAAGCTTCAGACTCTTAATTTCAGCTCCAGCTCCTGTCAAGATTATGATCTAACTGACGGTGAGATCAAGCCCCTTGACAAGTTCAGTGGGGAGTCTGCTTCTCTCCCTCTCCCTCTGCCCCTCCCCCCCACTCACTGGCGGCACGCACCCTCTCTCTCAAATAAATCTTTAAAAACAAAAAATAAAACGAAAACCTTGTAATATTTCCTCTCCTTCCCAATTAATTTCTGCTCAGAGGGAATGTGGTATTAACAAAGGTTCACTGAACTAAAGCCTTTTTCCTCACTTTGGAAAGAAGATACCTGTCCTGCTGCCTGATGGGATTATTGTTGGGGGAGAGGACTTAGAAGCACTTCTGACTCCATAATTACTTAATAAAATAATTAATACTGCATTAAATATATTTGTGAAAACAAAGGGACCAGTTAATTACTATGTGAGAATGATAAAACTTAGTATTTGTCTTAACTTGCTTCCTGTATTTTTTAATTCAGAGTCATTCCTGATGGCTTAATTACATACATAAATAAAAATGGTAAATTATATACCCAGGTTAATCCTGCTCTTTGCAAGTCACGTCTTGCCTTTTTTTTTTTTTAAGTGTGTGACAGTTTTATTTAGATACCACACTGAGTAGGGTATTTACAAGCACACATCTAATAACCTGTCTTGCCTTTTTAAAAAAAACTTTATTTTAACGAATGCCCTATAAACTTATGGGCATTGGTTGGTTATGCAACTGCCTTTAGCTCAGGTCATGATCCTGGAGCCCTGGGATCGAGTCCCGCATCGGGCTCCCTGCTCAGCGGGGAGTCTGCTTCTCCCTCTGACCCTCCCCCCTCTCATGTGCTCTCTCTCTCTCTCATTCTCGCTCTCTCAAAGAAAATCACACATTGAAAAAGCAAAACAAAACCACCTACAAATACATGATACTGATTCATCTTTCCTAAATCTTGAGTTGCAAGAATTTTGTAATTCCCACCTCCAAATAGTCTCTAAATATTTTTTTTTAAAGATTTTATTTATTTGAGAGAGAGCACAAGCAGGGGGAGGGGGAGAGGGAGAAGCAGACACCCCTCTGAGCAGGGAGCCCCATGTGGGGCTTGATCTTGGGACTCCGGGATCATGAGCTGAGCCGAAGACAGCCACTTAACCGACTGAGCCACCCAGGTGCCTCTAAATATGTTTTAAAAAGGAAATTAGTCAATATATAAGAGATGCTCTAGATAAACAAGAGTTGATTCGATTAAATACAGCCTAACTAGAGTGTTTAACAGACTCAAAGCTCAAAAAGTACATTCTTGATATTTGTAAGAAAAAATTAAATATTTAATTCATAATTTATAACAGCACACATACAAACTAGTTTTGTGGGTTTTGTATCCTCCAATTGACTTTTTAAGAGTTTGTCTAGCTGTGTACAGTATATCATAAAGTTATTTGGTACACTGGAAACATTTTCTAACCTATGAGGCCAAATTTCTATTCTTTAGGCAGTCTTCCTTTTTTTAAATGCCCAATAATCGGCAGACACTCTCATCAACAACATCCATTCTCTAGTCATTGCTACAACGTGCTGACAGATTAGCGAAAGTAATTAACTGCTGATGTACAATTTAACAAATTCCTCTCGATAAGGAATTGATAATTTCAAATTAGATTCTAGATTTTGTTTATTTTTTTTAGTTATTTTTCCTCTTTTTAAACAGTATTCAAACTACGAGTTGCTGTAAGTCAGTGAATAATGACTAGAAGCTTTAAAAAATGTTTATTTTATAATAGTATTAAACAGGGCTAAACCTTTGAAAGCTGAAAATTAACAAAACATGCTCTAGGTCATGAAAATTTAAAAAGTACCAGTGTAGGAACAGGTCCCAAGCAAAACAGTGGTCTGAAAAGCTTAAAAAGAGAAACATACATGATGGAAAACCAATCTTCTTCCTGATTTAACACAATGAAATGTAAATGAAGCTTTTGATGAGTATTTATAAGAAAATTATTCCCTGTTGATTCTACTTAAAGAACACTAATCTGAAAAGTGTCAATTATAATTCAAGGTTTACTATTTAATAAGTAAATATTTATACATTTATTAAGTTACTGAAATTTATCTTTATCCCCAAACCAAAAACTAATGATAAAAATGTTTTTGGTTTGTGCATGTGGCATGGAAATAAGCCAAATCAAAGCTATTTGGCAATAATTTCGGGCAAAAGAAAAGAGATTCTTTCCAATTTAAGCTATTCGTGTTAAGTAAAAATTATTAAGCAATGTATAACTGTTAGACACTTAAAAGAATCACAGGTTTCATTATACCTAAATCAAAATTACGCAGAAATGAAAATTAAAACAGAAGCAGTAGCAAACATACTAAGTTCACCTGAGACAGTTTTGCTTTCTTACTCAATTGTTGATTATTCTGGCCGTCTTACCTTTTTCTACTTGTAGTAGATATTATGGCCCATAGTAAAAATTAAAAATTGAGATTTACATGTAATAGTATTAAAATTAGAGCTCCTCTTAATCAATGTTTTATTTTAGATGGAATATAATAATCAAAACTTTCAACCAAACACTTCAAACTTTAACATACAAATAGAGGAAATCAAAGGTTTTATAGGTATGGTAAATTATATACCCAGGTTAATCCTGCCCTTTGCAAGTCATGTCTTGCCTTTTTTTTTTTTTTTAAGTGTACGACAGTTTTATTTAGATACCACATTGAGTAGGGTATCTACAAGCACACATCTAATAACCTGTCTTGCCTTTTTAAAAAAACTTTATTTTAACCAATGCACTATAAACTTAACCAATAAATTTTGGTAGATGGTGCAAGCATGTGTATTCTGGAGTCAGGCTGTCTGAGTTCAAATCTTTTTTTTTTTTTTTAAAGATTTTATTTATTTACTTGAGAGAGAGAGAGCACATGAGAGGGGGCAGGGTCAGAGGGAGAAGCAGACTCCCCGCCGAGCAGGGAGCCCGATGTGGGACTTGATCCCGGGACTCCAGGACCATGACCTGAGCCGAAGGCAGTCGCTTAACCAACTGAGCCACCCAGGCGCCCTGAGTTCAAATCTTGACTCTACTAATGACTAACTAGCCTTGTTCCCTAGTGAAATTATTCTACCTCTTGAGCCCCACTTCTCTCATCTACAAAATGAAAGTAAACATTGTACCTATTGTACCTACCTTTTAAGATAACTGCGAGGACTGAGATTGCTCTATAAACCACCTTGGACATTATAAGCACTTGATAAGGTTTATCATTATTCTATGATTATTAGCACATGTATGACCACATCATCTGTAACCTTTATGATGTCACCAGGGAAAAAGGAAGCTGATAGCCCAAGCATCTCCATTAAACAACTTCTCATATCTAATTCTGATTTTCTTCTTATACACGTACATACATACTCTCAAGCATGTTTTCTGGTAAAAGCATTACTCATAGCGTAGAAGACGTGGTATGGTCTGAATGTTCTGCATCCTCCCAAAATTCGTATGTTGCAATCCTCATGTTCAATGTGGTAGTATTGGGAGGTGGAGCCTTTCAGAGGTCTTTCAGAGGTGCTTAGGTCACAAACGTAGAGTCCTCATGGATGGAATTAGTGCTCTGATAAAAGCGATCTGAGAGAGTTCTTTGGCCCCTTCGATACCACAGTAAGGACAGAGCAAGAAGTTGTTAGTCTGCAACCCTGAAGATGGCCTTCACCAGAACCTGATCTTGGCGGCTCTCTAATCGCTGACTTCCAGCCTCCAGAACGGTGAGAAAAGTAATTTCTGTTTAAGCCATCCCTTTCCAAGGTGTTTTGTTATGGCAGCCTACGTTGACTAATAAAAGTAGTGTATTTATATTTTCAATGTTCAAATACATAAGGGAAAATGATTCTAAGTTTCTATTTTGCTAATTTCATCAGTTCCATACAAATTCATGGTATGCATAGTTTTCAAAAACAGTAGGGTATGTCAGAATCAGGCATGATCAGAGAGACATTACTATACTCCCACCCACAATGTAATTTCTTCTTAATAGCACAATATTAAGGTTTCTCATTTTTCAACAAGCTGTTTGAAACAGTTCTAGTTAGGCCACGGTCAGACAGATATTACAGTCATGTTTGTAATATGCTGTAAGTTAAAACTTAGGGAGTCTTACCTTTTATATCTGCCTGAAACCGTTCTAGATGGGTCCTGTAAAGCAAAAAGAATGACACCAGTTTGGGTGTGTGTGCAAGAACACAATTCCACATTATGTAAAACAGTTAATAATGTTTATCTTTGAAAGAAACTAATTTGGAACAAATATCATTGCTTTAAAAAACTGACAATGCTGGTCAAACAAAATAAGACACTACATCTGATTTCTCAGACAAAAACAACCACTTTTTTAAAATTATATTTCTAATTTAGAAGATTTTTAAAACTCAGAAAATTGAAAAAGGAAGCATCATTCATCAACCAATCAGCTTAAATCATTTTTGGAAGCCAATGAGCATTTAAAAACACAGTTAGAATCAAATATATATATATACACACAATATATAAATATATATATGCATCTCTCCCTTCTGATTTATGCCCTCAATTAAAAAAAGATTCACCCCAAATACATATAATGATTAATGCTTCTTTTAAAAGACAGCTAAAAATTAAAAGTAAGAAAGTACTATTTATGCTGATTGTATGCTATCCAAAAGAAAGGTTGCTGAAAGTAAACATTAACCACTAGGGTGGGGAAATTATTATCTTGCAATTAACCAGGCATTTTTCTGTTCAATCTTTTTTTTTTTTTAGATTTTATTTATTTGAGAGAGAGAGAAAGTGCACACCTGGGAGCAGGGAGAGCACAGGGGGAAGGGGAGGAAGGGGGAAAGAACCTCAAGCAGACTCAGCACAGGGTCTGATCCTTCCACCCTCATCATGACCTGAACCAAAACCAAGAGTCAGACACTTAACCAACTGAGCCACTCAGGCATCCCTGTTCAATCTTTTTTTTTTTTTTAATATTTTATTTATTCATTTGAGAGAGAGAGAGAGACAGCAAGAGAGAGCATGAGCGGGGAGGAGAGGGAGAAGCAGGCTCCCTGATGAGCAGGGAGCTCAACGCAGGGCTCAATCCCAGGATCCTAGGATCACGATGCCTACCCAACTGAGCCACCCAGGTGCCCCAACCGCTGATGAATCTTTTAATAGCCAAGGCTCTCCAAATATTTTTTGCAAATTTCATTTTAATTAAACCAGTCAAAATGAAATGATGAGTCTTTTTAAAAACTGATCATTCTTTTCTTCTAGTTATCATTTAAAGTATTCAAGAGAGACTCTACAGTTAAAGAATGTCTGATGTTAAAATCAGAGAATCCACTCCCTTTATAAATAAGATGACCAGATTCCAGACTAAAACAGCAAATACTGATTGCATGGTGCAATAAAGGGCATAATCAATGCAGAGGAAACAGTATAGCAAACCACATGGTTAAGAGTGAAGATTTAGATCCAAGTTTCAACCAGACAAGCTTCAGTAGCTATGAAGCTATGGATAAATTATTTAACTTCTATCAGTCTCGGTTTCCTCATCTCTAAAATAGGAATAACAATGTCAATGTTACTGGATTATTGTGGGGATTAAAGGACATAAGTGAGTAAAAAAATTACACAACTCCTTTACAAAAGGCTTACAATTTAAATTTTGCAGCTAAGATTTTTTTTAAACTGGGATACAGAAAAATCTTTACCAATTTTTCTATGTGGAATTTTAGTAAATCTGTCTCAATTATTCCAAGTCAGTATATTCCCATTAGAACAGCCTAACCTACTTATTTAAATAAGTTTATCTCAATTTTTCATGTCCAGTATATATTTTATTTTCTGGAAGATGGGGATTCCCACCTTTGATTCCTTTTTCCCCCAAACCCCAGCTCAAATAGTATGCCATAAATATATATCGACAATGCATGGAAATAACTTCCCCAGTAATCTGCCACTACAGGAAAATACCACTTTGGAATTAACCAGTTGCACAAAGTAACCAGGTGACAGAAAGGATACTAGAAGTGTCCGTACGTATAGGCTTGACCCCTTAACAGATTACCTCTGAGGAAGTTATGCTTTGACAGCTGGTTTAAAAGACATTTTAACTCTCCCCACCTTGGCATCACCTGTTCTTACAGAAGGGAGTAACAAAGCCTAGCAAGTAAACTTAAAGAGTTTCTTACTAACTTGTATTAAAGTGGCAGTCCCTAAAGATGGGGAAGATGAATCTTTGTACTTCATACATCAAACATGTAAACAAATCGCCTGTTTACAAAAATATTTCTAATAATTAACAACAAAAAATATACTTTGTAAAATCTAGCCCTTAAGTTATTTTTAGAACCATAATAACTAGATTAAAATGTTTAATCACTGGTTATTTAGATAAAGCAGAAAGAAATACTAAGCTTGTGTCTATCCAAAGTACATTTTACTGAATGCAGATGATTATGATTTCATACGAAACTTTTACTCCTAAATTTTCACAAACAGTACTTAACTAACATTTTATAAAGTTTTTTTAAAAACCTTTATAAAGGTTTTCATTTATAAATTTCCCTAATCTTACTCTACATGAACTAAAACCAAAACATAACATTAAATGATGTCCATCTAAATATGACTTAGAAAAAAATGTTAATGCCATAGGTTCCAAAACAACACTCTCTATCAGTTTGGTTATAACTGAAATATTTTAAAACATGACATCAGCTTGATTGCCCAGACTACATTTTACTGAAATGGAGTATGCAGAATTGCTAAATGAGAACAGCCTTTATTAGATTTATTGATTTGTGCGTTACTGATACACTGATTGAAATGATATGAACAACGCAATAAATCATATTTATGAAGATTAACACAGGCATTTTCCTGAATATGATAAAACTTTGATTAATACAGATTTAGAGCAGAATTTTAACAACTAGAGAAATGTGAAATGAAGGCTGTTTTCAGCAACACTATAGTGCCATTATACTAATTTTATACTTTGACCCAATTATAAATGACTTAGTCAGTACAAGAGAACTTTCAAGTTAACTATACTAATAGGAAGTTATATAATATCAGTTTTCCATATTTCTCACAGCATTTTTTTAAAACAACTAGTCATTTAAAACATATCTCAATTAAGTTTCACACAGTATTTTCTATACAGCTAGTATAGAAATCAGTAAAATAAGAACTCTGATCAAATCATTCAATGTTCATGTCCAAGATGTGCAAACAATTAGAATTTAGGCTTATTTCAATTTAACTAGTTTCACTAGTAAAGATTCTGAAGCAGACAGAAGACACTTAAGCTTATTCTTTATTGGTAGATTTAAAATAGGGTCTTTTATTAGTTTACATATTTTGTAACTAAATGTTATTTTCACAGTAATTCTAGTAATCAAATTACATTCCTTAACAATGGAATGTTCCCCCTCCTACACTGTTGGTGGGAATGCAAGCTGCTGCAGCCACTCTGGAAAACAGTATGGAGGTTCCTCAAAAAGTTGAAAATAGAGCTACCATACGATCCAGCAATTGCACTACTGGGTATTTACCACAAAGATACAAATGTAGGGATCCGAAGGGGTATGTGCACCCCAATGTTTATAGCAGCAATGTCCACAATAGCCAAACTGTGGAAAGAGCCAAGATGCCCATCGACAGATGAATGGATAAAGAAGATGTGGTATACATATACAATGGAATATTATGCAGCCATCAAAAGGAATGACATCTTGCCATTTGCAACAATGGAACTGGAGGGTATTATGCTGAGTGAAATAAGTCAATCAGAGAAAGACATGTATCATATGACCTCACTGATACGAGGAATTCTTAATCTCAAGAAACAAACTGAGGGTTGCTGGAGTGGTGGGGGGTGGGTGGGTGATAGATATTGGGGAGGGTATGTGCTATGGTGAGTGCTGTGAATTGTGTAAGACTGATGGAATCACAGATCTGTACCTCTGAAACAAATAATACATTATATGTTAAAAAAAAAAAAAAGAAGAAGAAGAAGATAGCAAGAGGGGAAGAATGAAGGCGGGGGAATCTGACAGGGAGACGAACCATGAGAGACTACGGACTCTCAGAAACAAACTGAGGGTTCTAGAGAGGAGGGGAGTGGGGGGATGGGTTAGCCTGGTGATGGGTATTAAAGAGGGCACATTCTGCATGAAGCACTGGGTGTTATACACAAACAATGAATCATGGAACACTACATCAAAAACTAATGATGTAATGTATGGTGATTAACATAATAAAAAAAATGGAATGTTCCCCAAACTGGATAGGCTATATTAGTATGAGAACTAGCATTAGACGAAATTGGGAGGAGTGATAGTCTGCTTCTCATGTGCATTCAAAATGGTCATTTACAGATGGAGTTTAAAGTGATTTCTAAACTCTTGCCAAAAAGAGAAAATGGGGTATTTCTTGATTGAGAAATATTAGATAGAAAAAGCAAAATCAACCTCTATAGTGCAGCAAGAGTCTCATTAATTTTAAGAAGGAAATGCTTGATGTTTTTACACATTAAATATACAAATATAAACTTCACCTCAGATTTGTTAACTAGAAACCTCTATATTTCTGTGGCAACAAAGACTTCCAAGCAAAGGATGACAACTCAATAGTTACTATACCTGTTAAAGCTGACAACTGTATTCTAAATGGGGGCAGGAGGTAGGAGATAAACCAGTACCACTGAAACCACTTATAAAAACTACAACTGTTAAGAGTGACATTGGTCTTAAAAGTTTCAAAGACTATGTAATTAGACCTTCCAATAACCCCAAAGCCTGTTATACAACTGATTTAAAATATACTTTGGCTGAAATAATCTCCCTTACAATGGGATGGTTTATATTACTAAAGAAGGGGGAAAGACCTATATAGCACTTAGAAAATGTTGGCAAGGCACAAACTGTTTTGTGTAAGTTTAAATAAAACATTCTGCTTTAGTCAAGCTTAGAATGGTCAGTAAGGAAATTCCATGAATTGTCTTTACAGGTGCAGTGGCAGACAGAACTTGTAAAGTATAAACAAATATAAAAGCATACATGAAATAAGATCAGAGAAATACAAGACCAGCTAAATACAGCAAAATAATACTTAAGTTATTCAAATAAACTAATTACTGACAAAGCCATAGCCCTCAATAAAATTATGGCATAACATGCTAACTGGCCCCCAGGACTAACTTAAAGTACCTATACTGGTAGACATAATGTAGCAAGATAACACTGCTGAAGATGAATGCAGAAAAAAATATCTGTAATGTATAAATGATAAAATAGCTAAGAAAATGGAAAACAAAACAAGAACTTTATCAAATTAACAAAGATTAAAAAAGGAAGAACTCACCATTCCCCTTTCCTTTCTGAATGATTCAGTCCTAAAACCATTAGGTGTGGCAGAGCTAGATGGGGAAGAAACAGAGTAGCCCAAACCACGGTATCAGAATACTGGAGCCCTACATGAAGAGGAGCTGCCTGGCATAGAGAATCAGAGTCCAAGCAAACTGACAAGAACATCCATATTGCAGGGGGACTTGGTGTGGCCTGAGAAATCAGAGCCAGAGCAGAAACGAGGGTGTCTACAAAGCAGGAAAGGGAAGGCAGACTATCAGTCCTGAGACAAACTCAGAAAGGGAGACCCATGTAGGGGGCATCAAGAGGCCCAAGAAGGGTGTGATGGTCATTCATTCAAGAGGGTGGCACAGAACAGAGTTTTAGAGCCCCAGAAGGGTAAAGAAAACAGCATGGCATGGGGAGTTCGCAGCCCTTGAAGAGAACCTCTCTGCAGAGAGATGAACAGGGATGATGTGCCAGAGCCCAAACACGATGAAGAAGAGTGTCCACACTGAGCGGTATTCTGGCCTGAAGGTGTCAAAGCCCAATCAGGTTGATGAGGGGTCTTCGTGGAGAAGCAATTCAGCATAAGATCTCAGAGTCTGAACATGAACAAAGACCCTAGGGAAGAGCAGCCTATCACAGGATGACAGAAGCTAAGCAGTGTAAGGAGGGAATCCTGGGGCATGGGGGCGGAGGGGTGATCCAGTGTGGGGAATCACAATTCAAGCAGGGTAAGGAGGGCATCCTACAGCCTTGCATGGGATGCTCAAGCCTGAAGAGGGTCAGCAAGTGTTCATGCACAAAGAAAGCCAACATGGGATGTCAGAACTCACTTGTGGTGAAGCGGGTATAAATGTGGGGAAGGGGTGGCAATGGAATAATAGGTTACATAGAAGGGGACTGAACAAATAAGAAAACATTAAGGATAATGGGAGTTTCTCAATGTCACAAAAGGGAGTTAACAACTACTAGAATAAAACCCTATAGTATTAGATTAGATTGGAAGTTATCAGTATAAATTAGTTTCAGTATCTACATAGATGTAGGCAGGTAGGCAGACAGAAGACAGATATGTGTATCTATATATATATAGATACACATATATTTTGTAGGTCTATACACAGAGAGGGACCAAGAATGGTGACATTTCAGTAACATAAACAAACCTACAGCCCAGATCGTGGCTTCAAAGTATTTTCCAGTAAAAGGAATCAGAGTTCCTTAGCTTCTTAAAGAAATGGCTGTTTCCAACCTTGGTGTAGGAAAGTCAAAGATGAGCTGTAACATATTATGCCAAGAAGTATTCCAAAAACGATGGAGATGTAGCAAAAGCTCCAAAGAGTTTCCACTGGCAAAATCTGGGATAATCTGAACATCAAAATAGACAATGGTGTGGTAGGCAGATTAATGACCCTCAGACATGTCTGTGTCCTAACCCCTGGAACCCTCAAACATGGTGGGTTATAGAGCAAAGGGTTGCTAACCAACAACCCTAAATAGGGAGATTATCCTAGATTATCTGATGGGACCAATGTGATCACAAGATTCATTAAAAGTGGAAGACAGAGGCAGAAGGTCAGAGGGAGATATGACTTAGAATAAAGGTCAGAATGACAAGCTGCAGGAAGTACTCAACCCACCGTTTCAGGTTTTGACAGAAGAAGAAGAGCCATAAGCCAAAGAATGTGGGTAGCCACTGGGAGCTGGAAAAGGCAAAGAAACAGATTCTCCCCTAGAGCCTCCAAAAAGGAATGCAGTCCTGATTTTTGCCTTTGAAGCCTTTTATTTTAGGCCTTGATTTTGGCCAATCAGACCCGTGTTGGACCTCCAATTTACAAAACTGTAAGATGATAAATTTGTGCTGTTTTTAAGACAACAAATTTGTAGTAATTTGTTACAGCAGCAACAGAAAACTAATACAGATGGTAACAGTATAATCCATCAGATAAAAGAGGTAATAGTGAGTCAATACACATATACAGATATAAACACAGGAAGATGATAAATAGAGAAAGTTTGATGGGGATTAAGATATCTACATGTTCAAAGCACTTACCCACAAAATACTTTTTTTTTCTGTTAAAGGATTTCATATGATCAGCAGTTCCACAAAACACTCATTAACACTTTTATTTAAGAAAAGAAAAGAAAATAACTGCCCTATAATCTTTTAAAGTGGGAAGATTAAGAAATTTACTTATTTTTTTAAAGACAGATTGATCTGACAGAGAGAGAAAGAGAAAGAGAGCACAAGCAGGGGGGAAGCAGCAGGCAGAGGGAGAGGGAGAGGGAGAAGCAGGCCCCCCGCCAAGCAGATAGCCCAATGTTGGGCTCCATCCCAGGGTCCTGGGATCATGACCTGAGCCAAAGGCAGACTCTTAACCAACTGAGCCATCAAGGCGCCCCAAGATAAGAAACGTAAAGAGAGACAGACTGCTTCATATTAAAGGAAACTAAAGAGATAACATCAGCTAAATGCAACACCTGATTCTGAATGAGATCCTTCTGCTATACTTTAGAACATTACTGGGACAACTGGTGAAACCTGGAAAAGGTCTAAGTATTATATGGTAGAAATGTGTCATTTTTAATTTTTTTTTTCATTTTTCATTTTCTATTTTTAAGAGCCATGCTGTGGAAAATACCCCGTAAAGGGAAGAAAGGCTCTTTCCTTTCTGTCTGGTGGCAGCCATCTGTTCAAAGCTAAGCCAAGGTGGGCGCTTACCAGTCCATCCAGGAGCTAGCTACGGAGGAAGCAGCAGTTGGCTGTAATGTACTTTCTTCTCAGGGGGCACTGCTGGCAGTACCCCCAGCTCTCTGTGCTCCACAGGGACCCTGCCCAACCTGGTCCAATAAAGCGCACAGACTAGCGTACAAGGCCAAGCAAAGTTATGTCATATATAGGATTCATGTGCAATGTGGTGCCCACAAATGCCCAGTCCCTAAGAGTGCAACCTATGGCAAGCTTGTCCACCCTGGTGTTAACCAGCTAAAGTTTGCCTGAAGCCTTCAGTCTGTTGCAGAGGAGCGAGATGGACACCACCGTGGAGCTCTGAAAGTCCTGAAAATTCTTACTGGGTTGGCGAAGATTCCACGTACAAATTCTTTAGGTTATCCTCACTGATCCATTCCATAAAGCTAGCAAAAGAAATCCTGACACCCAGTGGATCGCCAACCCAGTCCACAAGCACAGGAAGATAGAAGGACTGACATCTGCAGGCTGTAAGAACGTGGCCTTGGAAAGGGTCACAAGTTTCACCACACTACTGGTGGTTCTCACTGTGCGGCATGGAGAAGATGCAATACTCTCTAGCACCACCATTACTGCTAATGTAAGTAATGTTTGTAAAATTAAAAGTGCTCCTTGTCTGTTAAAATTAGTTGTCTACAGAATGTTCCATGAATACACTGTCAAATTATGAAAGTTAAAGTGCAATAATGTTTGAAGACTCTAAGTGGTGGTATATCTTGTTTCTTATAAGATAAATGCTTTTATCTTTGCTTTATCTTATTAGGGATTTTATACTTCAGTGTTTAAAATGCTATTTGGTATAACAGGTATAATATAAGTTCTGTAAAAGTGGAATGCAGAAGCTAGCCATGTAGATTTGCTGGTGCATGTAATGAAACCTACAGCTTCACTGAGATGATGTAATGCTCTACTGGTTTACTCTCAAATGGCTATTTTTAGGGGTTTGGTAAGACCATGCTTTTTAAAATTGGATTTTGTCTGGAAATGTGAAGAATACCCTAATCTTTTATATATATAAATATATTTATATATAACATATAAAAATATTATTTATATATTATATATTTATTATATAAATATATATATACACACACATGTAAAATCATATGCAGAATAATATAGTTAAGTGGGGTCCACATTTTTAGGTTTAATCCAATCTTCCATTTATGTAACTGCTGCTTCTAAAAGAATAGTTTAAAAGAATGCCACCATTTTTAGGAGAATTGAATAAGCCTGTTGCAAGAGGGTTCTCTTACTAATGAAAGTAAATCCTGCTTAACCTAAGCAAAACTGCCTCGGTCTCCACAGTACCGCTGAAGTTCCTATAAAAGATGGAGGCTCCTGGTTCTATTCCACAACCCTATGGGATCTGTAGAACATTGAATTTCATACAAAACAGTCAGTAATGGTATTTACACTGGCATATATTAAAACTGATGGAAAGTGAACATTAGGTAAATGAGAAGAATTTACCTTAAGATTTGTAAGATTTGTAAGCTAGTAATCAATGCCAGGATGGCTATCAGAATTGTCAACTCACTTAAACTTACTAATTCTAACTTTACTAAGAGCAAAGAGGTAATTATTTTTCCTATTTTTTCAATAGGTACTGCTTAACTTGCTTAATCAGTCAGACAGCAAATATTCACTGATCAAGAACTAAGAACCATACATACTGTTTTTAAGTCAAGAAGTATTTGGATAGAAGGAAAGTCAATGCTTAAATCCACTGAAAATACTTAAATGGAGCTGATGTAACCAAAAGGAGAATGGAAAAATTATTAAAAGCTACTTAAAAATGATTGTTAAAATAGCAACTGACATCCTGGTATTTTTAAATATTCATTTGTAAAATAAAAAAATAAAAAATAAATTTTTAGGGGCACCTGGCTGGCTTAGTTGGTAGAGCACAGGACTCTTGATCTCAGAGTTCACAATCAATCAATATATAATAACTCATAAGAAAATAAATTTTTAAGATAATTTTTTAAAATTAAATTTAAATAAATAAATACTCACTTGTAGCAGGTAGGAACTGCCTGGATCTAATAAGCTGACAGCTTCATTCTGCATCGTGTTCTGTTGTGTAATTGCATCTTCACGTTTCCGCTCTTTCTGCCCTGCTTCATCATCTTCATATTCATCTAAGCACTAAAAGAAAAAATAGTTTCCATTTTATTTCTACATAGTACTAACAGATTGTACTGACAGTATGTAAAGATACATTTGGATAGCATTAAAGAAGTATCTGTACATTCAGAAACTAATTTATATGATAAAGGTGTTCCTTTCAGTAATATGTACATTTAATTCCTATAAATTATCTGCTTAAACCCCAAGCTCCACATTGATGCCCCCAACTTATCTTTTCTCTAGACTATAAATAGCAGTGACAGAGCTTGCTTAAAGGCAAGGTTTACTCATTCTTTTACATTCATTCAACAAGTAAACGAATGGTGTCTACCTTAAACAAGGCACTTTTCAGAGGGTAACAAATGATATACCCAAGACATGGAATTTATAGTCTAGTGGGAAGTTAAGATGTAAGATATAAGACATATAGAGATACAGATATAGATGCAGATAACTCAATGATAAAGGCTACTTTCCAGCCTAGTACTACCTAAGAGTATATACAGAAAGAGTATTTGTACCTGGGGAGTAAGTCTTCTACAAAAACTCTGTGGAAGAGTTTATAATTTAAAGGATGGGTAAAATTAAGAACTGCAGATATAGAAAAAAGAGAATTTCAGATGGTGGGAAGAGCATATGGAACGGTTGTTGCTAAAAAGCTCAATCAACACCTGCATTATCTATCTCCAGACTCTACATGAAAAAAAGTCATAAACAGAAACAAAATTCTATTCATTATACCCATTGTGGTATGGGTTATCTGTTCCTTGCAAATGAACACATTCCTTTTGTTTTTAAGATTTTATTTATTTGAGAGAGAGAATGAGAAAGCACAAGCAGGGGGAGCAGCTGAGGGAGAGGGAGAAGCAGGCTCCCCACTGAGCAGGTAGCCCTAAACGCGAGTCGATCCCAAGGACCTGGGATCATGACTTGAGCTGAAGGCAGATGCTTAACTGACTGAGACACCCAGGCGCCCCTGCAACGGAACACATTCCTAACCAATATCGCCTTAAAGGGTTCTGTGAGAGACAAAGAATAACGTTTCTGCAGGCAGTCTGTAAACAAGAAGGCACTAACCAAAGAAACAGGACTTACAAATTATAAAAAGAGAGTAAGTTAGGCCACTGTGCAAACTAAGAAGGGACACTGGAGTGTCTGGAATAGGAGGGACACAGTAGATAAGCAGCACATTCAAAGACACAAGGTCCACAATGGGCGATATGGAAGAAAGTACCTCTCTGAGATGGAGTCTTAAAATTAGATTGATATGGAAAGGAAGTGAGGGGAAAGAATGAAAGGGGTGAGATTCCAGAGAATGCTCCTGCCCTCCCTGTAATGGAACTGACTGTGTGTACAGGTGTCATCTGGCCCTTGTCATGCACCCAGTGAGAACTGGGACTTGAGTTACCAGTGCAAGAAAAACAGATACTGAGGCTACTTGACTCTGACCCAGGAGACTAGTGTGATCTGCCATGATCCATGAAATGACAGCAGGCTAACATGGTTAGCTTGAAAGTAAGGTAAGATCTCAAACCCTTCACAGTTCTTGACAGAGGTGAAGATCGGAAAGGCAAATGATCTGATCACAAAGAACATAAATAGCCTGAGAAGCGTGGACTTTTCATTACATAACACAGAAAGATGTTATGGTGCTACAATTCCCTGGAATATAGTTTGTAAAACATGATCAAAACTGATTGGAGGGGGGGAGTCCTGGGTGGCTCAGATGGTTAAGCGCCTGCCTTCAGTGCAGGTCATGAACTCCAGGTCTTGGAATGGAGCCCCATGTCAGGCTCCTGGCTCAGTGGGGAGTCTGTTTCTCCCTCTCTCTCTGCCTTTCCCCCTGCTTGTGCTCAGTCTCTCTCTCAAATGAATAAATAAAATCTTCAAAAAAAAAAAAAAACTGATTTTGGGAACAGAAACCTATATAAAGCAGTTCACAGTAGAAATTAACAGGACGAAAAGTGGAGAGTAGACAACAAAGAAGACAATTTGATTCTATGAAAAATAATGTATCCTATGTAGAAAACAGAATCAGTAAAAGAAATCTAGTAATTGTACTAAAGTTTAAGAAACTAGTCCTGATTAGAAAAAGACTCTTAGGACTCTTAAAAATCCTTTCTCAGACAATAGATGGTATCATGTTTAATGGCAAAATATCACCAAAATTTAAAAGCAAAATCAGACTTAAGACACTGATATCCATTCCACTATCAACATAGTTGTTAACATCACTCTGGAGGTGCTATCTGATAAAACCAGGTAAGAAAAATAAAAGATTTCAGCAGTAGAAAGAAAGCAAAATTTCATCATTTCAGATGATACAATTTTGTTGAGATAACATAAAAATGTTTTAGAATTACTAAAGTTCATTACAATGGTTTTTATAGAAGTATGCAAAAATCGCTTCCCAAAGTAACATGAACAGCCAGTTAGACTGTATAATTTTAATAGTAACTATAAAAATAAACCAAAAAACTTTATGAGAAAAATACACAATTTTACTGAGAAACACAAATTAAAGCCTATTCTTAAATGAGAAAAAGCTAGTATTGTGAAGATGTCAATAAGCCAATTTATAAGCTGAATAAAAATTCCAATCAAAATCTTAAGGAATTTATTCGGAAAGTAGGGGTGATCATCTGAGTAAATAAATACGTAAGACATCCAGAAAACTTTTTTAAAAAGTTACGACAAAACATTCACTCTAACATTAAAATGTATAAAACCACAAAAATAAAAACTGTAACTGAGGTCCTAGAAAAGAGAATAAAGTAAAGGAATTCTTCAATACACATTACTGAGATAAGAGGTCAATCATTTAATGCACAGTGGGGGCTGAGAAGCAAATATGTAAGATCTGGAAAAAACAAAAGAGTAGTCTCATCTCTAGGCTTCTATTCCATGAAAGGGATCATCTCATTCTCCAGTACCTGAACTGCAAAACTCCCTGACCATAGGACTGAATGTCAGTAGCATAATGCTAGAACTCTTAAATCCTAAAGTAGTGTAGATAGAAAGTAAAAGTTGAAGCAGATAGCCATGAACTCCCTGAGTGCTGGGATATTATTTTATTTATCTTTGTTTTCATTTTCTGAGATCCAGTCCCTCAACCTCAATAAATGAGACTCCCTTACTAGCACATTAAAAAGAGGAAGAAGAAAAAAAAATTCAGTAAATGCTTGATAAATGAATGAGTTACCAAGATAAGACAAATCAGGGAGATGGACTGTAGCATCCCAAGCTAAAATGGAATATTCTTTTCCATGGCAACACTGTTACCCACTGACCTGGGAACCTATTCATCACACATACTACCTCTGTGGAGAATTTGTACATCTTACATTCCAGGCAGCTTTTAGAATAGGGATTACTTGATGAATCACAACTTCCCTCCAAGGTTATTCTAAGCAACCAGTACAATTCTTTTAGCACAAGCATCCTACAAATTCTTTAAGCTATCTTATATAACTGGGATAAATACACCTGGAGGAAACTCTGGTGGAAATGGTAAGAAAGAATGAAAGCAAAAAAGAAGTGAGTTACTAGACCAAGGTAGGTTAAGATATTTTCCACTTCTGGGCGCCTGGGTGGCTCAGTTGGTTAAGCGACTGCCTTCGGCTCAGGTCATGATCCTGGAGTCCCTGGATCGAGTCCCGCATCGGGCTCCCTGCTCAGCAGGGAGTCTGCTTCTCCCTCTGACCCTCCCCCCATCTCATGTGCTTTCTCTCTCATTCTCTCTGTCTCTCAAATAAATAAATAAAATCTTTAAAAAAAAAAAAAAAGATATTTTCCACTTCTATTTCTTGCAAAAATTAATAATTCTCTAAGTGCACAGCTGATGGTATCCTTAACGGAGACAGACTTATTTTTTTTAAGATTTTTTATTTTTAAGTAATCTCTATACCTAACATGGGGCTCAAACTCACAACCTCGAGATCAAGAGTCTCTACTGAGCCAGCCAGGTGTCCCAACAATAATTTTTAAATAAGTACCAGCAAAAGAGAACCAAAAAGAACCCAAACATGTTTTAATGTTTTTTTCTACTAATCATAAGCTTTTTATCTGAGAGAGAAAATGATGAGAAGAAAATAGATGCTGACTTTATATTATAATTACACCATGTGGAACTCAATGCCATCTTTTCCCAGCTCTCATTTCCAGATAAACGTAATCATGTCAAAGTTACTCTCTCCTTTCACATAGATTAGAGAGAAAGAACTGCATGAGAACTGGGTTAACAATTATCTTAAATTGAAACCAAAAAGTCAAATTTTATGAAATGACATTTTTTAAAAAGAAATAAGTATCACTGACTGTCACCAAGCTCGTTGCTACTCCCAAAACTGCATTTTGGAGCACCCAGTATTTTGGCAAATAAAACTCCTGAATAAAACAAAGGTATGATTTTCATTCTTAATAACAAATTATTAAGATTAAGATGCTATAGTATGTTCTAAAAAATTATTCAGGCTATTGCTAATCTGACAAAGTAACCAAGTAAAAAGGAAATCAAGTATTTTTAAAGTCCTATTAGCTGGGATCAAAAAATACAACTCACAGGAAAAGAATAGGTAATTCAGAAATAGATCCAAATACACAGACAAATTGAGTTTACAATAAAGTGGAAACACACAACAGTGGGAAAAGAGGAACTTTTTAATATGTGGCTTGGGGATAACTGGATAGCCATATTTAAAAAGATGAATTTAGATTTATTCCACATACCACATACCAGAATAAATTTCAGTGCATCATTAAAAATGAGCAAAAATTGAACAGACACCCCACCAAAGAAAATACAGGCATTGCAAATAAACACATGAAAAGAGGCTCAATATAATTAGTTATTAAGGAAATGTGAAATAAACTTTGACAGACTATCACTACACACCTACCAAAATGATTAAAATTAAGGACTAATAATGCCAAGTGTTAATGAGGATTTCAAACAATTGAATATCTCCTACACTGCTGGCAAAAACTCAAACTAGAAAACAGTTTGGCAGTTTCTCTCT